GGCTCATTAATAGCCTTATCCCAAAGCGGACTAGACAACACTACGGCTATAAATGAACAAACATACGATAACAATAACAACACACTCGAATTTAACCTTGATATCATGTTAAGATTTGGAATTTCATTCCAAAAAGTTAACATGATTGGAGTAGCAAGGATCTTATATAGTGCTTTATTGTTTTATACTAATCTAGTGTGAGACAATTACTTCACCACATGTATATTTACTTTCTTGAAGTTTAAAAAATACTTAGTAGTCATAGTTTCATTGGTTAGTATTTTTTGTAATAGTACTCCAAGAAAAACCTAAAAAAAATTGAGGGGGATTGTGTTTTTTCCAAAATTTAGAAACTATTACGGTATGTTACTATTTGAACATCACATATACTTTTTGAGACATTTTTAAATAAATTAAAATTTTCTTCCTTATTTTATTAAAAGGACTTATTAATTTACTCTAAACTCTTGTTGCCAATTTAGGAAGCGTTTTCGTGAGTTTGGAGTTTTTTTCTCTCTCCAGGGTTGCCTCGCGCAACGCCTATGATTGTCCGTCCTTGTTTTTTCGAGGGGCATGTGGGATTGGTTGGAGGGAGAGGTGCTTGGTTTGGACGAATTGGTGGGTTGAGGTGGCGGCGGGTCGAGTTATTGGTTCGTGAGGGCGGTGGTTGGTGTATTTAAATGGGAGCTTTGGCGAGCAGTTTTCGAAAATACAAAGTAGCAGCTGGGTGGTGGATAGGCGCACATGGAAGCTGTTGTCGATTGCTACAAGCAGATGCCGATCGGTACAGATTCAGAGGAGCTTGATCTTGATGATCTGGAGGCAGAGGAAACTCCGGCGAAGATTGGCCCTAAAGAGTTCCCGGTGATCGGCCAGGTATTAACTGATAGGAAGGTTAAATTTGCGGAACTCAAGGAGATAATGTCATCATTGTGCAGGCCAGGGAAAGGTATGGGCGTATGGCGGTTAAAGAGATCGGGGAAAAAAGGTAGTTTGGTGATGTGGGGGTCCATGTGGCAATTTGAACGCAGTTTGGTGATGTTTAAAGAAGTTATGCCTGATGATATATCACACAAAATTATTTTAAATGCGGCAGAGTTTTGGGTTCAGATTCATAATGTTCCTAAAAGTTTCCCGACGTGTGGGAAACTTCATAGGGCAGTTTGTTAAATATGATGATTTTCAGAAGAGTGATAAATTAGAGCCATATATGCGGGTTAGGGTCCTTATGAAGATGGATAAATCTTTGAAGAAAGGGACAAATCTGAAAAAGGATGGAAAAAGTTTTTGGGTAGATTTTAAATATGAGAGGCTACCAAACTTTTGTTTCATCTGTGGTTTTATTGGACATTCAGATAATTTTTGTCCTTTAAATTATGAGGAAGGCTTAGTTTTAGAAAAAAGATTTGGGATCCATCTCAGAGCAGGTAGTGGGTGAAAACAAGTCCTATAGGAGGTCATAAATGGCTTCTGGAGGGTTCACCGAGCTCTGGCAAATCGGGTGGATATACCGAGGTACATGAATTAGAGGACAAGATTGATGAAAGGGGGAAAGATGCAACGACTGGATCAGCCCAAAGCTTTACTAAAGGAGGTGGGGAGGAGTCAAAAGAAGAGGTTTCAAAGAGAAGAAATATCAGGGAGATCCGGACAGAGAAGGAGCAAGAAGAAGAAGACATGGCTTTGGATGGGACAAAAAACCGGGAGGAGGCGGGCTTTGCTCTTTAAGCCCTCCGAAGCTGCAGATGGAAGATGGGAGGTCGCAGGTCCGAGAAATGATTCGAGGTTTTTGGCTGCATCAGAAGTTTGTTGATTTTTGTTTTGTGTGTTGTTTGAGAGATTGTTATGTCTGCTTTGCTGTTTTTTTCGTTTATCTTCCTGTTTGTAAGACGTTGACTTTGGATGTGGGGGATGAGCGGAATATGGTGACCGTTTATGGCTTTAAGTTTCCCACTTTTGGATCAGCGAATTATATTGCTTCTTTGGAGGTGATTAATTCCGAGACTGGTTCACGGGATAGCGGTTGTCAGATTTCTTTTTGTCACTTGAGGATGTTTTTACTTGGACTGTAATTAATCCCAGACCAGACCAGACCAGATCAGACCAGAGCAGACCAGACCAGTTCAGACCAGATCAGACCAGACCAGACTTGGATAGTTATAAAAATACAAAGAAATCAGACCAGACCAGACCAGTTCAGACCAGATCAGACCAGTTCAGACCAGACCAGACCAGCAAATTACAGTCCAAGTAAAAACATCCTGACTCATACTCTGAATTATCTATTATCAATATAAGCCGATTTCTTTCAAAAAAAAATTACTCTAAACTCTTACGTACACTACATAAGTTCTTTAATAGTTGAAGGAAGGAAGTACGTATTTTTCCATCCATCTTCTTGAAATGTTCAACCATAGAAATGTATGTTATACGGAGCATTAGTAATATGTGTAATAACTATAGTGATAAATTCATCTGAAGTAACAAACACACAAAACTAAAAAACATATGTGACTAAAGTTTGAGTCCATTACAAAATACACGGACGCCCAAATAAATAAAAATTTTGACCATAACTATTGAACATCACCATCACCATCATTATCATTACCTCCAGAAGTGTGCACCGGATCGAACTGGACCGGAATCGGACCCGGATTCGCCATGATATGAAAGCCGAAAACCGGACCGGATGTATTCTGGTTTTTATCCGGTTCAATAAAGCACAGAGAGATGTGTACCTCAGTGCTGCAAAGGCTCCCACTTACGGTGGAGTAAGGGGTTTCGGATATACGCAGTCTTACCCATGTTCTAAAGCACAGAGAGACTGTTTCCGGATGACCCACATTGAAAATCGCGTCAAAAATTGCATGAACTGATTGTTGCTTCAGAACAAAGAAGTGCAGACAGTTTAGTGAGCTCATTTGCTTTTATTCTGTCATATTCCCAAGCCAAAAAATAATGAGCTTTGGCTTGGGAATATGATGGAATAAAGCAAATGGGAAAAAAGCAACAGTCAGTCCATGCAAAATTAATAGTTAAGAATCAGCTCTTAGACACTTGAGAGAGATAAACCTGAGTCCTTTGAAGTATCTATTAGATTCTGAATCTCATCTACTCCCTCCGATTCTCAAACAACTTTCCACTTTCCTTTTCGGGAAGTCCCGAAATTAACTTCACGCTTCTTCTTATTTCCCTATTTGGCAAATTATCTACACCTAAATAGAGATGGCAATTGTGACCGAACCGATGAATACCCGCACCGAACCGCCCTGGTCAAAATGGGGAAAACCGCATTGACCGGGTAACGGGTACGGGGCGGGGAATCCCCGTTTTCTTTTTACGGGTAATGGGGCGGTTACGGTTTTATACATGCCCGCCCCATTACCCGCCCCGTTTATTTGTAGATATATTTTTATTATATTTTTATCTATTATTTATCTAACAACTATTAAAAGATGAGATTTTTTCTTTCCATTGTGTATATATAGATAATAGATGTACTAACTATAATGTATGAACGAAAGTTCATAATAGATTTTAATAGTCTTGTTTGATTATTACCATTTTTTTTAATAATTATTTTTTAGATCAAGTATTTTTAGGTTCAAATTAATTTAAGTTGCTTGATTTCTCGTCTTGTATGTATACAAATCTTTAAATTGGCATCTGAAGTGTAGAGTCATCTAGGCGATGTCATTCTTCGCCTTTTAAAATATTATTTTTATATCAAAATTTAATGACTCAAGTAATAAAGTGGTTACCCGCGGTTACCCGAAGTTTTACCCGTTACCCGTTGGGGCGGTTATGGTTTGGGTAAAAATTACCCGTTGGGTTACGGGGCGATTACGATTATATGCAAAACCGTCCCCGATCCGCCCCGTTGCCATCCCTACACCCAAACAGTGCAAAACAGTGTCAAACAGTGCCAAACAGTGACAATCAGTGTCCAAACAGGGCCAAACAATGCGCTCCACAGTAAAATCAAATTTATTTTCTTAATCTATGTGAATTGAATGCGCACAAAAAAAACTCTTAATTAATTGGCTTTACAACGGGTGAAAGTGAGATGAAGTATTGCTCGTGTGATTAGTCAGGTTAGCGACATGATAAAAAGGTCATCATTTAAGAAATTTTCCTCGATTCAGATCAATTATATATGTACTTGTTATAACTTGATTTATGATATTTTTACTAGAATTGTTTTCTGTCCTAGATCAGTTCAGACTAGATTCGACTAGAATCACGTAGTGGATTAGACCAAATCAGACCAAATTAGAACAAACCAGATTAGACTCGGACAATTCAGATCAGATCAGACCAGAAAATCTCATACCAAGTAAAAAATCCTTAGTGTCAACTTTTTCTGAAAAATACTAGGTGTACCCCTAATGTGTACACAAATTGTACACATCTTCCTAGTTGTCTGTGTACACATGCAATTTGTTTGAAAAAGAGCGGGACTTATGCCAAAATGTTGTGCACACAGACGATATACAGTTTGTGTACAAATTTGGGGACACCAAGAATTACTCACTTTGTTAGTTCATCATTTGATTTAACAAATATAAGCGCAACAAATGAGCTAATTTGGTCTATGTGAGTCACCATGTAAGAATTTGCTGGTTGAAATGCGAAATAATGTGAGGTCACATAAGTATCCATCTTAGCAATTAACATTGTGTATTCCGGCTAACCAAACAGAGACTACGTGTTGACCTAAGCAGCGCACAAATACAAAATAGAATAAAATATTAAAGGCACCGTGATGACTGTTGAAACCAACTCCTGCAAGAAATCTCACATTTCGGGCAAAATATATATCGTAATTTCAAAAAGTTCAGAGCAGATCAAGCCCAGCAAATATAAACCAATCCTAATAAATAAATAAATAAAACACAGCTGTAACTGTGTGACAATTACGAAGACATATACACACAAAAACACTCATATATACACACTTATATATATTGCAAATGCAATATTCATTCATTCACTCATCCCATTATCCCTCCCAACACCACAAAATTCAATCTTTATATGTTTGTTTCTGTGTTCCTTTCCCATACCTCTCTGCATGCAATTCTTGGCTTTTGCTTGAATGAATCTGTGATTGTATTGGGAAAGGCTGCAAAGCGCATTCTCCCAGGCTTGCCTTCTCCCCTTTTTACCTTCAAAGTTCAAGAAAACAACCCCAACCCCACCCACCCAACCCCCACATTTTTTTACTGAAATAACCCTACCTAACTAGCTTAGGACCTCCAAGAAAATATGAAGATCAGTGAAGCTCCCTCTATCACTTTCACCCATCCCTGTTCTTGATGATTTCTTTTCTTTAATTTCCGGGAAAGATTGTAACTTTGGGAGAATATGAGAAGCGCCGCCGCAAGAACAGTCGGACTGCTGATTTTCCTGATCTCCGGCTACCTTCTTATTATTACAAGCAGCTCCAATGGCGGCGGCAGTGGAGGAGAAAGAGGGTCGTTGATGGGGTCGAGGCCGCCGCGGTGCCAGCGGAGATGTGTTTCTTGCCAGGAATGTGAAGCGATTCAAGTTCCCACAAATCCCCAGAACAGCAAACATGGAATCAAGACGCTAATTTCTTCTTCTTCTTCTTCAAGAGCTGGTGCTGCCCGGACCACCAGTAGCAGGGGAGATGATGACAGTTACAGCTCCAACTACAAGCCTATGAGCTGGAAATGCAAATGTGGTAATGTCATCTTCAACCCCTGAGATCAGAGAGAGAGAGCTAATAGCTTGCAGTGGTCCTTGGCATTGGATTCCAAATTAACCAGAAGGCCGGCCTGCCCTGCCCTGCCCACCATTTTCTTGTTTAGAATTATTTTTTCTTTGATTAATTAGTTAATGAATTCATATCCCTTATTAGCAATGTAGTAATAATTAATAACATAATACGAGTAATATTAATATCGGTATGTAGGGAGCTATTTATTACGCAGTACTTGATTCCTCTTATTATTGTTATTACTGATTAATTATTGTATGTATTGTGTATGTTAGACTTATGAAACTTTATGAACTTTTTACTGTTTCATGTCATTGTAATAATGTAATAGATCAGCGAATCTGTCGCCAAGTCTGGTAAAAGTGATAAGCAAACTAAAAGGTCGTACGATATATACATACACACATACGGAGTATATTACTCAACTCCTTATTTTTGCTTTTAATCAGATCCATTATTAGCAATGTCGTAATAACAAAATAATACCAGCGCCTTAAACATACGGAGTATATCTATATCATTTGCTATCTGTGTGTATAGTTCGAAAATGGGATTTTTACTTTGAAATTCACTATTTTCATGTTGATCATCTTGTGAAATAAACTAATAAAGGATTGAATATAATACTGATATTATTCTTGGTCATCCCTTTTGATTACAACCGTAAATCCGTAATATATATATATATATATATATATATATATATATATATATATATATATATATATATATATGATGGAGTATTAACTCCTAGATTCTAGAGAGAAGTGAGAGCTAGAGAGAGAAGTGCAATAATATGCTTCAATAGAATGAATTTGTAACCCCTATAACTACTCCCAAGGGGAGTATTTATAGAGAAAATTAGGGTTGGGCTCCCAAGCCTTGGGCTCGGGAGGCCCATTTACAACTGGACCGCTACTGGGCCGAATACAAAGCCACTAATGGGCTGTACAAATGAGTAAGTATATGATCCGATTCTGGGAGGTCCTCGTGGCCGACGAGGGCACGGCCGACGAGGGCACGGCCGACGGGGGCACCCGGGTTCCTTGGACTCAGGATCATAATCCGGGTTGGCTTCTTCTCGGCCGACGGGGGCGTCTTGGCCGATGAGGGCGCCACTCTGTTGTCTTGTGCTCTGTTCTTCCGAGTATGTGGGTCCTGGGGCTCAGACCCATATACTCCATCATGAGTCCCCCACTCTCTAAGCTGAGATGTAGACGAAGTGAAGGAGAGTAGATTTCTGTGCTTTGTTATTTTTGGCCGACGCGGGCATTTCCAGGCCGTTAGCCGTTGCGGCGTTGGCGTTGTGTCCTCTTTGGTGATCCTGTTCCTCGCTGTGGGCGGGGAGGCCGTTGTTTCCTTAATTTGTTTTGGGACGATGAGCGTCCTTTTTTCAACGGTGGCCGTTGAAGGCGCGCTTTCCCTTTCCTGGCCGTTGGTGGTTGAAGTTTACGTTTGGGCCGGTGAGGTTGTTCCTTGCTTTGAGGATGATGGCGTCCTTTCCTTTGGGTGGCCGATGAGGGTGCTCGCGCACTCCTTTTGGCCGTTGCTGGTTGGCCTTCGTGTTCTTGGCCGAAGGGCCCGTCAAGATTAATTGTTGGCGGAGGACGATGAGTGTCCTTGCCTCTAGTGGCTTGTTGGCCGTTGCTAGTGACGTTATGGGCCTTTGGCCGATGAAGTTCCGTTGTGCTGCATGGATGATGTGGCCATGCTTTGTGGTTACCTTATTCGCACTCTTTTGTTTTGTTGAGGCCGGTGTAGTCCCCCAGTCCCCCACTGCTTCAGGCCGAAGAGTGTGAGGGGTGAAGGAGTTGCTTGAGTCCCTGTCCGAAGCGGTCTCGCCGTAGTCCCCCTGAATCCAATTCTCATGGCGATTTTCTGGCCAAGGTAACCCTGTGGGAGAACCCTTGTGCGCAGATCGCTTGTAGAGAGTTATCATCAAGGGTTATTACGAGGAGCCGAAGGCTGTGGGCTATTTGTCCCCTTTGTTCTGTGGCCGTTACGTTCCTGGCCGTTGCCGTCCACTTATTGTCTGGCATTTGTGATATTGGCAAGCAGATGGGACGTTGTGGGCGCTTGCTGGCAGTTGTAAAGCCGTTGAGCGTGTGTAGGCCGTAGTGTCTGATTTGCCAGTGGGCCGTTGATATGGGTTGGTCCTGGCCCGTTGGTGACGTGGTGGCCCCCCAGTGGTGGCCGTTGATGTGGCCATTGGGAGAGTGCCACGTGTAGTGACCGTTTGTGGGGGGGGGCTATAAATACCCCTTCCCCTCCGACGAAAAATCACGTTTGCATTCTGAATTTGTCGAAGTGCTGGCCGATTTTCTAGAGAGATAAACTCCCAAGCCTGTTCTTCGTGTTCGTCATTGTTTGAGGTTAGTGTTCATCACGATCTTCCTCGCTTTTCATATTTTGCTCCGTAAGTAGTTGATCTAGTGTTAGGCATCTAAACACCTTTAGATCGTAAGTTCTCCTTAAGCCCGTAGTAGTAATGAAGAGCTTGAACGACGACTACTACCCCTACGACGACCAGCCTTCCACGAGGTCGCTTGACTACGAGGTGCTCGAGGAGTTTGAGGAGGAGATTGAGCGTTTAAGTCCATACAAGTCCGCGGAGCTGATGGACGAGGAGGGCGAGGATGAGGAGTCCGCATCCTCTTCAAAGGGTGAGGACGTAGATGCGTCCCGAGTGGTGGACGGGGCGTCCACTTCTGCTGTCATTCCGTGCCCGAGGCCGGTGTCCGCCGTTAAGGGAGCCGCCAAGCCGAAAAGAGTGAGGAGGCCGAAGAGTGGGCCCGGCGTCTCCTACTTGGATCTCACCAACATCTACCTGATAAAGCCGGAGAGCAGTGCGGCCGACTATCTGGTTGCCCAGATGTACGTGGGGCCGTTCGGGCGGGTTAGGGCGCCCAAGCCGACGGACCATGTTCTTCTTCCACCACCGGGATACTTTGGAGTATACCCGATGAGTTTTGCTAAGGGGTTGAGGTTTCCTCTTCACCCTTTCATTACTGAGTACTTGGATATGGTAGGGCTTCCTCCGGCCTTGCTGACGCCGAACAGTTACTCCCTGATGGTGGGGTTCTTGCTCCGGTGTGAGGAGTTGAGCTACAAGCCGACAACGGCGTTGTTTATGAATCTGTACCAGATAGGCCGAGGAAGCCACAAGAACTGTGCGGCCTACGCGACTCTTCAGCAGCTGCCGAAGAAGAGGATCTTCACGGATTTGCCTACGTCCATTCATGGGTGGAAGAGCAAGTTCGTGTTTGTGTCCATCGGTGAGAGTGGCACCGAGTTTCCCTCCCTCGGCCACACCGGGAGATTTAATCTGCATGATCCGCCGAAGAGCTCTATTTTGGACGCTCAGGTGGAGGCTTTCCTGGAGGGGGGGCCGAGGAGCGTGAAAGAGTACATCACCGAGTACAAGATGGCCGCCCTCGGCTTCGTGAGGTACTATGTTTATGGTGACAAGGAGGATGACCTCCAACTCTGGCCGAGGATGACCACCACCTTTGAGGAGGCCGACGGCCCAGACTTGGGCATTCCTGCTGAGGCCGATGGTAATTCTTTCTTCGGCTTTCTGTCTTTATGTTTTGTCCTTTGCTTTACTAATCTGTTTGTGCTTTTCCCTTGTAGATTTTGTCATGGACCGCCGTTCCATGATGGCTATTGCGAAGGCCAAAGCGGCCGAGGAGATTGCTGCTAAGGCGGCCGAAGCGGCCAGGCGTGCCGCGGCCGGTGGGAGCGGGGCAACTGCAGATGCGGCCCCAAAGCCTGCCCCATCCAAGAAGAAGAGACCGGCCACTGACGGCCAGAAAAAGTTGACCGAGGCCGGCGTGAGCGTCTCTAAGAAGACGAAGAGGGCTCCTTCCCCTTCTCCGGCTAGTGAGGCCGGTACGCTTACTGTCCCCAGCGTGGGCGATGGTGGTCCCGTCGTGGACCTTACTGTTGCTGGTGATGCCGCCCCAGCGCTGCCTCTCGTCCAGGAACCACGGACGAAGAGGGCCGGCAAGGAGATCGCCGGTGACACCTATCAGAAAGTGATAGAGTACCCCGTCGGCGGGGGCGTGTTTAATGAGCTCGTCCCCGGCCACGTCGTCCTTGCCAAGGCCATGCCGGCCAAAGATCGGGCTCATTTGAAGAAGCTCGAGGACCCGAAGATTTATGAGGGCGGCATGGATCTTCTCGTCCAAGTAAGTGATTGTCCTTATACTCTTGTCTCTCTTCGTCTTATGTAGAGTTTTTGCCTGACCTTTGTTTTTCTTATGCAGAGTTCCTTCATGCTTATGGAAAGCCATAAGAGGCAGTGTAACACCCCCAAATTTCCCTCCCAACATAATACTTAAAGAAATAATAAGCTTTTATCATTTATTCAAAACTTTCAAATTGTTTGCAGCGGAAATAAGCAATAACAAGAAAAAGGGGCGTGTTACCGCCACACCCAGCCTAAACTGACTGGATGCTAAATTCAACATAAATGTATCTAAAGCAATTACTAAATTCAACATTTGAAATAATGAAATCTAACAGAGTTTATTCTAAACGAGGCTACTCTAAAAGTCTTCTAGGAGCGATCTCAAGGCATCAATCTTCATATATCACCTCATCTGTAGCATAAGAAAATGAAAGAAACAAATAACACAAAAATTAGCTTTCGCTAAGTAAATCCCACCCAACCCCGTAAAATAATAGTTTTGTTGAAAAATAAGCATTTGTATATTATATATACAAAAAGCGAGTTTCCAAAAATTTTGTTTCAAAAAGAGTGATAATATTTTCAAAAGGTTCTTTCAATAATTCTTGTAAGTATTCCAAAGAATAATTCTCCAAATACAAAATTATTTGTTTTTCCTCAAAAGAGCTTTATAGCTAATCTTCCTAGTCATTTAGACGGGCGGTGCTCAAGCGTTACCTCGATTCCTGAGCCCAGTGAACCGTTGTTTTGTACGGTCACTCCGATCTTCTCTCGGTACCTCATCTCCTCTATTAGAATCTAGACTTCTACCTTAAGTGTGCACACCCCCTAAAGGGATTCCAAGCCCTCCGAGTAGTATGAAGTCTAAGTAGTTCTGACGTCAACGTCTCCCTACTCCAAATGGGATATACTCCCTAAGTTCTAGGTTCAAAGACCCTTAAGAGAATAGGTACTACTACTACTACTCTAATAAAAAGGGATCTGATACCCAATTGTTCGGGGTGGTTACCGAACCCTCCAAAATTCATTTAATTTGTTTCATACCTCTCAATTCAAGTAATAGTAGTCCTAACCCTCCCTCACCATTAACGGACGTGAAGGTGGCCCGACACCTGTAGATTCCTCCCGCGGTGCCCCAATTATGAAAACTGT